TGAAGAAGGCTGGGGGAGAGGGGTAGAAAGTGGAGGGGGTTTTGTCTCAAATAGACAGGTGCTAGAGAAAGCACTGGATGGTAGCATCTTATCTTGATATGGGAAAGGTTAGAGTTCTAGGTTTTCCACTTACTATTCACGTGAGAAATCTGAGACAGGGAGCAGCTTTGTGCAGGTATGATCTTTGTGCCTCTACCACAGAGAAGTGGAAGAGCGGGGGTAGAGGGCCAAGGATTTTCTCTCCTCTCCCAAACCCATATCAGCCATAGAATCTTGCAGCTGAACTACCTGTCCAGTAAGAGATGCTATGACCAATGGAGAGTACAGAGAAACAGAGACCTACACTCTCTAGGGAGAGAGAAACAAAGAGGCAGCCCTCAAGGCAAGAAGCATAACCTTTGGCAGCACAGAAAAGAGCCAACTATGCTTTGAAGGAAGAATTAGCCCTGGGAGTTAGTTGAGAGTTAAACTGCAGAGAGAAGTAGGCCCAGGGAACTCAGATGAGTGACCTATCCAATAAAGATAGTGCTCTAAGAGGAAGAAGAGGACACCACAAGAAAAGAAAAGACATTAGGGTCCCAGGTGTGGGTGACACCTTGGTTACACGTCTCTTACACGTGGACCTCACTATTACTGTACTCCTAGATTTGTTCCTACTCTTTCACTTAAACTGTGTGTATTTGTTAAATAGTGCACCTCAGGTTTGTGGAGGACAATGTTTTGTAGCTAATAGTCTTACTATGCCATTTTAGTAAATGATACTGCTTTGAGCTAATTGTGTTTACTGGCTGACTATTAAAGAAAAAGCTCATTAATGGGGGCTCGTGAGCTATAATTTTGGGAATGTAGACCACCAGGCTACCCCTAGAACCTGAGGTATCAGTTCTCCCTCCTAGGAACCCAAATCGTAAGCATGAGTTGGGGAGAGAGGCTGTACAGAAGGTGCTCTCTACATAAATGCAACGGTAAAGAAAGATTTTTATACATCAGGGTTGCTTAAGACAAAACCCACCTACATATGATGGACTCATACATTAAAGCAATAAAGAAAGTAAACAAGTCTTTTGACTCATATAGACCATTACAACTTATTCTAAAATCTGACCTATCTTAATAATGGTGTCTCCACTATTCTCCTTATATAGCTCTCCAATCTGTCAATGACACTAACCATTTCTATTACTTGAAGTTTTTCTTGACATATTCAAAGTTTTATTTTTCTGAATTTTATTTAATGATTCCATGCTATAATTTTTCACATGAAATTAATACTTTTTCCTCACTAAGGATGACAACTTCTAAGTAGTAATGATGGGGTGAGCTCAGAGATGTCCCCCCTCACTTTTACCCCAAAGGGAGTCTGGCTCCCATTTGTCTACACACCCCAGCTCCTTATCTCCATTTAGAAGCCTTGGCCTACACCTTTTGACCTTAATAAGATGCCTTCCAGCTCCCTCCATTACAGGCCCCATAAAACACTTAAAACTTTCAGGTTCCTTATTGACTCCCCTTATCTCCCTTTGACAAATGCCTTTGGTTCCCCCCATTAGCTATTCCCATTGTTTATTCAAACCTCCCCAATTAGAATCCTTACCTAGACCCTTTTTCCAGCCACTTCCTCTAGCCACCCAAAGTGATCTTATTGTATTTAAGATCCACCCTGGCCCCCATTCAGAGGCAGAGAATCTCTCATGCCACAAAGGCTGAGCTTTTCTCATGCCCGTCCTTATGGGTGTCACCTGACTTATTCAATTTATCACTAATAAACTTTTCCTCTGAATTGAAGAAGATTTGAGTTGAATTCATTCAGGCAGGGCCCGGTACCCCGATCTTGGGGTATCCCCCAGGAGCACCCCAAAAGTCCTAGACCTCTTCAGTAATAAGGTCATAAATTCAAACCATTCATGCCAGGACTCTGTATAGGAATTCTGTATTGATGGAGTGTCAGAAGTAATTATGGGGCATATTAAAGAGTTAGAAAATACATCTTCCAGTTGGGGCTATCATCAGCCACAGTTTAAAGTGTTGTTAAGAGCTAGTCCCATGCCTGGACTGCTGTCATGAGCTATGTGATCTCCCCAGTTTCCAGCTTCTCCTCAGACCAGTCCAAATCGTGCAGTAATGACAGGATATTTTCTCTAAGACATTGCCTTCATAATATCACAGCAGTGTCTCTCTACTCCAGAAGTCTCATGATAGAAAATGCTATCCACATCCAGAGAAAGAAGTATGGAGTTTGAATGAAGATCAGAGCACACTAGTTGTTCTTTTTTTTCTTCTGTTTTATTTTGATTCCTCTTTCTTGTGGTCCCTCCTATTGGTTCCACTTCTTCTTTACAACATGACTAATGTGAAAACATGTTTAATAGGAACGTACACGTAGAGCCTACACTGGATCGCATGCCATCTTGGGGAGGGGAAAGGGGGAGAAAATTTAAAACTCAAAAGCTTATGGAAGTGATTGTTGAAAACTAAAATAAATTAATGATAATTAAAAAAAGACATGGAGTCTAAATTCTTTAACCTGGTGTTTAAGGTGCTCTACAATTTAGCCTTGGCTTTATCACCTTTTACTTTCTCATGTGAACCTTCAGCCTGGCAAATCTGATCTACTTGCTGTCTCTTATGAAAACTTTATACTTCACATGATCAAGGACATGGAGATGGGTGGACCCACCAAGAATATCTTCCCCAAGGGGCAGATAGGTGGTGCAGTGGGCAGAGTGCCAGCCCTGAAGTCAGGAGGACCTGAGTTGAAATTCAGCCTCAGACCAAATACTTGACACTTACTAGCTGTGTGACCCTGGGCAAGTCACTTAACCCCAATTGCCTAAAAAGAAAAAAAAAAGAATATCTTCCCCAGAATCTCTCCCTATTGAAATCCTAGCCATTCCTTAAAGGCTCCAGAGAAGCCAATCAAATGTTAAGCATTTTAGAAGTGTTTATTATGTGCCAGTCATTGTGTGAGGTGCTGAGGAAACAAAGACAAAAGTGAGAGAACCCCTGCCCTCAAGGAGTTTCTATAAAGCTTTCCAAGATGGCCCGCCCAGAAATGATTGCCTTTCTTATATTTTATACTATGCTCTCAGTATTTTCTGTCTGTACCACTCATACAAAACTCCCCTATTATACACACTCATATACATTTCTCATTTATGCTAGATCTAGGCTTTCATCTCTTTGTGATGGGGTTATGAGACCTCAACTCCTAAAGGAAAAAGACCTGGTCTTTGAAAGCAACCCAGCCCCTAAACTTTTCCACACACAACTCAGTCCCTGGCATTTTGCCTGAGGCATCTGGTCCATCCCAGGCCACCTAGATACTCAATAATCCTTTTAACTGCCCTTTCACTGTGGCTCTCCAACCACTTAACTCCTTTCATTGTTTGCACTTGGGCCACCCCAGGCTATTTGTCTCTCCTTAATCTCATCCAGATCTTCTCACAGTCTTTTCTTATCTGTAAGTACCAATCTTACCCCCATTAAATTGCACAGATTCTAAGAATCTTGCCAGCTTCTATTGGTGACACAACACTGCAGATTTACTAGGAATCTTGACAGCCTAACTGGTGTTATAATAAAACCTCACTACTCTGACTGAAAGAAGGCTTGAGTGGCCGAGTTTTTTAGAGGCAGACCCCTCCATTACATTTGTATTTTGGGGTTTCCCCGTACCCCGAACTGCAACATTTGGACCTTAGTTCCTTCATGTGGAAAATGAAGAGACTGAACAAGATAACTGATATAGCTCTATACTATTTGCTGAATTGAAAGTTGCAGACCTAAATAGCTCAAAAGATATTGAGTGATCAAGCTTATTCCTCTAACGTTAGGCACAATCTTCTCATAATCTATAGCCCTTTGGGGGGGGGCTTTTCTCCCATATTGTTTTCCAGTTTTCCCAGCAGTTTTTGTTAAATAGTGAGTTCTTATCCCAGAAGCTAGGGTCTTTGGGTTTATCAAATAGTAGATTACTATAGTCATTGACTACTGTGTCTTGTGCACCTAACCTATTCCACTGATCCACCACTCTATTTCTTAGTCAGTACCAAGTAGTTTTTATGATTGCTGCTATACAATATAATTTAAGGTCTAGTATGGCTAGGCCACCTTACCTTGCATTTCTTTTCATTAATTCCCTTAACATTCTAGGCCTTTTATTCTTCCAGATAAATTGTTATTATTTTTTCTAGCTCTATAAAATAATTTTTTGGCAGTTTGATTGGTATGGCATTGAACAAGTAAATTAATTTAGGCAGAATTGTCATTTTTATTATTTTAGCTTAGCCTACCCATGAGCAACTGATATTTTTCCAGTTATTTAGATCTGACTGTATTTGTGGGAAAAGTGTTTTGCAATTGTGTTCATACAGTTCCCTGGGTTTGTCTTGGCAGGTAGACTCCCAAATATTTTATAAAGTCTATGGTAACTTTAAATGGAATTTCTCTATTTCTTGTTATTGGGCTTTGTTAGTAATATATAGAAATGCTGATGGTTTGGTTGGGCTTATTTTATATCCTACAACTTTGCTAAAGTTGGTTATTATTTCCAGTAGTTTTTCACTTGATTCTCTAGGATTCTCTATATACACCATCATATTATCTGCAAACAACTTTGTTCCTTCTTTGCCTATTCTAATTCCTTCGATTTCTTTTTTACCTCTTATTGCTAAAGCTAACATTTCTAGTACAATATTGAATAACAGTGGTGATAATGGACATGCTTGTTCCACCTTGGGGAGGTTTTTCTCAATTCACAAGACTTTCTTATATTAAAATGCTCCATAAAGAATGAAGCAACCCCAAGAAGAGTTCTTTGTACCTCTCAAAGTCTGCACTTAGACATGAAAGGAGTGTACACAATGAGGTCTTTCCAAAGCTGGTGCCAGGACCAGTCTGGACATTTTTATAATTGCTCTGAGAAGGTTTCCACAGCGAAATCTGCTTTCTTACTGCTACCAATACTATAGCTCCCCTCCACAAAGTCAAAGCAGGCTTACCTGTGCACTAACTGCAGGTTTTCTTGTTTTAACCGGCTATGTTGTTCTCCATTTGCTGCTGTGTCTTTCTCTAGTTCCGTCACTCTCTTCTCTAAGAAGATGACCTTTGCAATAAGAGGCACAGGACTGATGTGAGGCAAACAGTAAAATAGAGCCTATTCACAAGACAGCTTTTTAGAAAAACAGAGTACAAAGTACCCACATCCACAATCCATTTGAGGAGAACTGAAGTATCCAATTCCTTTGCCATCAATGCAAGTTCCCACAACAATAACTCTTTTCAATACCTGACACAACTTTGTGTATCAACTATGCTCTATGATTTTTCTTGTTGTATAATAGAATTTTTGAGTTCCATGTATAATTGATACCATACTGCTTGCCTTTTTGATGGGTGGGGGAGGGGCTGGAGAGAGGGACAATTTAGAACTCAAAATTTAAGAAAAGAATGTGAAAAATAAATATAAATTTCTTCCTTTCTTTCTTTTTTTTGTTTGGCTAGGCAATGGCATTAAGTGACTTGCCCAGGGGTCATACAGCTAGTAAGTGTTATATGTCTGAGGCTGGATTTAAACTCAGGTACTCCTCAATCCGGGGCCAGTGCTCTATCCACTGCACCACCTAGCTGCCCCCAAAATAAATACAATTTTAACAAAAGAATTTCCAAATTCCTTCTCCTCCATTCTGTGTTTTAAAATTTTAGCAGGGTCTTTTACTTTTCCCACCACAGCCACTTCCCAATATATGCATCTTTTCACTCCCATTTATAAAAGAAATGAGTTAAACAGAAAAGATCAAAATGACACCTGACAGCACGTCTAACATTCTGCTCTTGTGGGCCTCTTGTGCTCCAGTAAGTGGGAGGCATGTTGGCTCTGGGATTCCATTTTCCAGAACCAAGACTAGCCACTGCAATTAATTTGAGTTAGACTGCCCACAAGTGTTATTCTTGTTGGTGTTCCTGTAATCACTGTGTATAATGTCTTGATTCTGCTACTTCACTTGGTGTTAGTTCATATAAGTCTTCGTGTGTTTCTCTGAATTTCTCAAACTTACTACTTTCTATAGTACAACAGCATTCTATTCCATGCAGATGCAATAATTTGTTCAGCCATTTCTAAACAATGGGCATCCAGTTTATTTCCAGTTTTTTGCTACCATGAAAAGTCCTTCTATAGATATTCTGCCATATGTGGGTTCTTTCTGTCTTCTACTTTCTTGAGGGATATGCCCAGTAGTGGGGATCACTGGTTCAAAGCGTATAAAAAAGTCTAGCTACTTTTTCTGCAAAATTCCAAACTGTTTTCCAGAATGGTTAGATCACGTCACAGTTCTATCAATACTATACTAGTGTGCCTACTTTCTTGTAGCCATTAGATTTTACTATTTTTGACTTTTGTCAACTTTTCAAATTTAATGAGTATGAAATATAATTTCAGAGTTGATTTAAACTGCATTTCTGACAGGTTAAATTCTTAACCAAACAATAGAGATAATTATAAATGATAAAATGGATAATATTGATTAAATGAAATTGAAAAGCCTTTGCACAAATAAAATTAATGCTAAGAAGGCCAGTGGTTGCCTGGGAAATAAAAATCTCCATAGGGTTTCTTATCTAATACATATAGAGACAAATAAAAAGAGATTTTATATACATATACATACATATATACACATATAAAATCAAAAACTATTCCCAAATAGTTAAATGATCAAATGAAATTTTTAAAAAGTTCTCAAAAGAATTGTAAATTAACAGCCATACGAATGAATGAATGTTACAAATCACTAGTAAGAAAAGAAATGCAAATCAGAACAACCCTGAGGCTTCATCTCACACCCAGCAAACCGACAAAATGAATAAATGAAGGAAAGAGTCAGTGTTGGAGTGGTTATGGAAAGACGTAGACACACTAATACATTGCTGGTGGGGGTATGAACTGGTACAATCATTCTGGAAAGCAATTTGGAATTGTGCAAAGATAATGACTAAAATGTTCATACATTTTGACCCAGAAATTCCACCATTAGGCATATACCCTAAGTAGGTAATTAACAGAAATAAAGCCTCCATATATACCAAAATATTTATAGCAGCACTTTTTGTACAGCAAAGAACTGGATAATAGAGGCCTACTAACTGGGGAATGGCTAAACAAATTGTGTGAGGTGAATGTAATGGAATATTATTGTGCTATAAGAACTGAGAGAAAGTGATGAATACAGAGAAGCTTAGAAATATCTACATGAACTGATGCAAAGTGAAGAAGAGCAAGGAAAACAATACAATTTCTATAACAATGTAAATGGAAAGAACAACTATAAAAGAATCAAAGCTTAATCTGTGAAGTTATAATGAGGAAGCTTAGTCCTTAAAAAGAGATATGAGAAGATAACCTCTACCCACTTCTTTGCAAAGGTGTGGAACACTACATACATGTCAGACTTTTCAATGTGGTTATTGGTTTTGCTGATTTCTTTTCTCTTCCTTTACTTAAAAAACTTTTTCTTATAAGGGATGGCTCTCTAGAAGGAGATTTAGGAGAGAGAAAGGAATAGAAGGGAGTAATTTAGGTAATATAAAAACAAAATATATCAATAGACATATATTTTTTAAAAGTTGGTGGGGCCTTAACTACTATATCAAAAAATACTATGAAGTAAAAACAAAAAATTGTATTTCTCTTATTAGTAATTTAAAGCATTTTTTCCACATGTTGAAAAATCATCTGTTTCTATCCTTTCACCATTTATCTGGAAGGATGAATGATTCTTGCTCTATATTTGCATCAACTCCATTTTTTTTTCAAAGTGTGTACACTATGCTAATCATCTGTGCTAGCTTCACATTTTAGTTCAAGAGCTCTGTTAAATACCCAAATTCTGTGGTAGTGCATATCATATATTGTATACTCGCAGCATGAGCTTTATTGATAATTTCCTGGGGAAAAATGTATTTATGATACACTTTTAAGTTTAATCTACATTACTATTTTCTCCATCACCTTCTTAGATCTAGACAATCAACAGAACAAGAATTCAATCCCTAATTTGTAATATTTACTGATTTCCACAGTGTAAATATTCACACTAAAAATTTAACGATCAGTTTAAGAGCTGGTATAAGCTGGCTGCAGCTCACCACTGGCTTTATTAGATAAGTAGCACGGTATTGGTGAAAATGCCCTGACGTGGAGTCAGAAGACCTGGGTTCCAGTCTGAGCTCTACCCTTTAATAACCGTATGACCAAGGGCAAGCCACTGCACTCCTCTGAACTTCCTCAAGTTACCTTATTTATAAAATGGCACTTTTCCACTATTTACTTCACAGGGTTATTATTTAAAAAGTGCTTTATAAATGATAAAGTACTACATAAACATGAAATGTTATTACTATTATTTTTATAACTGTTTGATCATTCCTAGATTTTCCAAGGCTATCCTTTTGTATTAAAAAGCTTTAAAATGCTAATTTCATAAGAATTAATGTGTTTCATCTACAAATTAATATTTTTTGACTTGCATCGGCATGTGAAAACAGATTGTCATGGTGAAATAGAAAGAGCACTGGATCTAGGCAGCCAGGTGGTTATGTTGTGACTATGGGCAAGTCTCCTAATTTCAGTTTCTTCATCTGTAAAATAGTATAATATTTTTTCTTTACTATTTCCGAGTGCTGCTATGAAAAAAATCTATTTTTTTAGGATTTTAAGCTTTCCTATGTAAAGAAAGCACTTTGTCAACCTTATAGTATTTTATATATATCTATATCTATATATATATATGAGTTATTATTCCTAAATTTCTTAGTCTAAGAAAAAGAGAATGAAATAGGCTATTTCAAGCTATTAGAGCTGGACAGAACCATTCCATTCCAATTCTCTGACTTTATGGATGAGAAAACTGAGCTTCAAAGGAGACCAAGTGCCATATCCAATACCATGCAGATATATAATTGGAGAGCTGGGGCTAGACTCATTTCCTACTTCCAATCCACTATTTTCTTTATGAAAAATTTTAATCTTATTCTTATTGATAACTTTTGCTTTTATATCATATTCATTTACAAATATAATCTCCTGTTGCTTACACAATAAACTATGTTTTCTAACAAAAACTCTTGGGGGGGGAGAGAAGCTGTTTAGCAAAACTCATCAACAAATAGACCATGGCTAACAGCATATGCTCTATTCCATGTTCAAAGTCTCACATCTCAGCAATGAAGTGAGGGGAGTGAATTTTCTCTTTCTCAGGTCAAGCTTGGTCATCATAATTACATAGCATTCAGTTCCCTGTTTTTGCTGCTTCTCTTTCTATTTACATTGTTGTCAATGTGCATATTTTTTTCCTGGTTTAGCTTTACTGCATTAATTCATCTAAGCCTTCTTGTGCTTCTCCGATCTCGTCCTCCATCTCCTCCTCCTCCAACTTCTTCATATTTGTTTCTTTTGCATTACATGAATGTACTCTAGTTGGTTCAGCCACTCCCCAGTTGATAAGTATCTACTTTGTTTCCAATTCTTCTCTACCACAAAAAGGGCTGTTATAAATATTAACTTCTCTTAGCCTCAGTTTCTTAATCTGTAAAATGGAGGTGATAGTAACTACCTCAGAGGATGGCTGCAAGGATAAAATGAGGTAGTATATGTAAAGTGCTCTGCAAATTTTAAAGCACTACATAAATTTTAACTATTATTATCATTTTTACTATTATGATGATGATTATTGTATACAAGACTTTTCTTTCTGTCTTTGATCTCCTTGGTGCTTATGTCTATCTCTGGATCAAAGGATATGGACATATTTATTCATCTTTTTTAGCATAATTCCACATTTCTTTACAGAATGTTGGCTCAATTTACAACTTTACTAGGCCCAATTCACAACTCTACCACAACGTATCAGTGGCACCAGCGTAATATCAGCATATTACAACAGTGTATCTTCTCACAACCCCACCAACAATAATCATTTCCATCTTTTGTCATCTTTGCCACTTTGAAGGGAGTGAGATGAAACATCAGAATTATTTTGATTTGCACTTCTCTCATTTTTCCAGTGAGACCTGTATGACAAAACTTTGCTTTGTTTTAGGCCCACTTAATACCAACCTTATGTAATACAGTCAGTCTATAAAAGAGTTATGATGTAAGCTGATAAATAATAAATTACTAGCAGGAATATCTATTCTACGTATCTAGAAAAGGATTCATACAATGTTTCTTTCCTCCTCTATTTTGACTCCTTCTTTGTAGAATCTAGCATTGAAAGGGGCTTTAGGAGATGGTTGGTACATCGTACAGTATGCTAGAAAATATTAACAACAGGCTCTCCAGAAGAAAGAAAAGACTATGCATGACACACTTTTAAGTTTAACAATCAGGCCCTGATGTGTAATTTAACAATCAACTCTTATAAGCCAGTTCAAGCTGGTTCCAGTACCCCCGAGGGTCCAGCCCTTACTTGAAAGAGAATCCTTTCTACATCACATCTAGTTAGTCAAAAGTAACCTATGACTGCCCAGGGCAGCCCATTTTACTTCCGAATAGTTCTAATTGTTAGATTTTTCATTTTCCATATAAACTACTTTTAAGCCACAGTTTCCCCACCTGAACTTGTACAGCTGAAGCTTCAGTACAAGTGAAGGACTTTACCTTTCTCATGAGTAGAGATTGTTTCAATCATTGTATTTTTATCTAGCAGAGTGCCTGGATATAGTAGATGATCAATAAATGCTCGTTGATGGATTGATTGGTCAGCCCTACTAAATTTCATTTTGTTAGTTTCAATTCACTATTCCAAGCTGACAAAATATTTTTGAATACCAAGTCTGTTACATAATATATCAGCTACATTCTTAATCCTATCTGTCAAGGTTTCAGATGGTTGAAATGTCATCTATAAATTTGATAAGCTGATTCTCTCTTCCTTTTAAAATGTTAAACAGAACAAGGCTAAGGAAACAGCTCTGCTTCAGTCCTGTCATCATTCTTCAGAAACAAACATATTCCTCTTCTACACAATGGTTACAATTTCCCTTACTCTGCACTACTGAAAAATGAAATGGTTATTAGAAATGGGCAGAGCAATGATTAAAAGGAATTTCATTAGCCATTGTAAGTTATTTGATTTTAAAAAAAGGTTGTATAAATGGGAGTAGAAAAAAATCCACTTAAATTAAGGTTTGAGAAGTACATAAATGTAAGAATAATATTATCATTTTATCTAAGCTTAATTTTTAAAATGTAACATGCAAAATCAGAACTATATACTGATACTTTGTAGTGCTTAGAAAAAAGGTACTAAACTACATTTTAAAAAATAACTACCTTTGAAGACAGCATTGTATTGTAGGAAACAGCAATGTGGGGGTGTAAAGGACACTGAACAGAGAGTGAGGAGCCCGGGTTCTAACACTGGCTCTGCTGGTTAACTAGCTGTACAATCTTAAGCAAGTTACTTCATGACTCTGAATTTCACTTTATGAAGAAATGAAAGGCCTGGGCTAGATGAGAGGTGTCCAACTCCAATAGAAGCAATCTCTATAGCCCAAGTGTGACATGTGTGGACTAGACGAACTTTGAAATACTCTCCAGCTCCAACAAAGCTAGTGTTCTTTCCACCGTATCACATTTCCTTTTACTAGCTATGATCAGCTATACTTAAAAATAGACATTTTGAGGGGAGGCATAGGTAGTTTTGGAGAAGGGGACACTGGTGGAAGGCACATTTGAGTGAAACAAAGGAGTAGCAAATTCTAAGCAATCAGAAAATAGCTAGAAAAGTACTGGGTTCCTGGGAAATGGTGGAGTGTGTGTGTATGTGTGTGCATGCAGGCACACGCGGGTGCACACACGCATGTGTAGGTGTTTAGTGATACCAAAGATAAACTACCTACTTCAAGCTTTAGTTTGCTTACAATTCCAAACCAAACAGTGAACATAATAAAAATAGCTCACATTTCTATATAGTAATTTAAGGCTGGCAACGTACATTACATATACTATCTCAATGGATCCTCACAACAACCTTGTGACATAGATGCTATTATTATTCCCATTTTACAGATAAAAGAGAGGCTCAGAGACGCTAAATGACTTGCCCAGCTAGTAAGCAGTTAGGACTTGAATCATCTGGAAAAGCTCTAGTCTTCTCCCTCCTTTTCTCTCTCAGAGAACTCCAGGGTGGGGAGAAGCTCTCTTAGCCTGAAGTCTCCTGATAAAGAGTCAGTCTGCTTATAGTATCAGACATTTAGAGCTAGAAAAGATCTCACACCATCTAGTCCAACCTAAAGAAGTTCAATGACTTGTCCATGGTCACATAGACAATGAGTGACATTGTAACTCAGCCCCACTTTCTGGAGTCAAGCCCTCTATAGGCTCTACCTCTCCATACATGCCTCCCCTTCAGCCTGACCCAACCTGCTCTCTGCTCCTGCCACCCCCACTGCTGAGCTCCCCCTTGCCTCTACTCCCCTTTCCTACCAGAGACAAGCTGGGTGCTTGATGAAAATGGCAAGGATTCAGCGAGGCTTGGAAGGAATACATCCAAGTTAAGTTGTGCACAGCAAGTACACAGACAGCATGCCCAAAGATAATCTGGGTTATGAGTGCACTATCTCAAGCATCATCCCCTATTTGTTTAGTCCATGGGGTTTTCTTGGCAAAAATACTGGAGCAGTTTGTCATTTCCTTCTCCGGTGTGTTCTCATTTTACAGATGAGGAATTGAAGCAAATAAGGGTTAAGTGACTGGCCCAGAGTCACACAGCTAGTAAGTGTCTGAGGTCAAATTTGAACTCAGGTCTTCCTGACTTCAGGCTAGGCACTCTATCCGCTATGCCACCTAGCTGCCCCTATCATTCCCTATACTCTCTTATACTTTCTTGATATTTAATAAATACCTGTCTGTAAGGGCTAAATGGACAGAAGTAGACAGATAAACTGAGAATAAAGTCACAGTATTTCACTACAATTAGGTATTTAAGCCTTAAATTATGAGACAGTAGGACATGCTTGTTACAAAGGTTAATTTATACAAACATAAACATTTCAAGTTTTACTCCAGGTTCCTCTCAGGTACTGGCATTCTGATGAAAACAGATGTCCAGGTGGAGTAATTACCTTGTCAGCAATGTCCTCATCTGTGCAGTCCATAGGATCTCGAGACGTTTCCTCCATAGCCTCTACAGTCAAGTTCCCAGTCTGATGTAGATGTCTATAATAAGAACATAACAAACCAAACCAAAGAAAACACTTATTCATTAGAAAGATGGAAAATATAGATCCTAGTTTAATAAATAGCTTCTTAAGCATTAGAATTTCCTAATTATTATGAGTAAAGCAGCCAGGTAGGGGTTAATTTCCAGAGTTTATTCAGAGATGAAGCATTCCCTTAGGGCTAAACTCTTTTTGTATGAAAGAGAAAATGAACTTTCTCCCTACCATATCATTCTCTACAACTTTTCCAGCAACCTTTGGAATATCAAGTTCTTATTCTTCCAACTTGTTCTATCAGGTTGGTGGGATAAAAGAACTTTGTGCTCAGGTGTAATAAAAAATAATATGTATTTTATGTTATGAAATACTCTCCTCTTACTTCTCAGATTAGTAAAATATTAATTTAAGCTAATGGCACTTTGTACACAACCTTATCATTTAAATTTATCCTTAACAACATATTTTTCAAGTTGCCCATTTGAAAAGTGATATTTATACCTCAGTAGGGATGCCAATTCTAAAAACAGTCCCACTCACACAAAGCTATAGCAATGGAATGTAAGATACAGTGTCATATATAGGGAAAGCACTGGAATCATAACTGACTCTGGCTGGAATCCCAGCTCTGTTACTACTCACTCTACGTAACTTTCAGCAGATCACTTCTTCAGGGGCCACAGTTAGGTCACATATCACACATCCTTAGGAGTTTGGGGAGTGAGTGACTACTCCACCTTAGAATATGTTATAAAGAAGAAGAAAGCTGGGCATTATTTGACATACATACTAGATTTAGGGAGAGCAGATTTCAAAAGGTCCCAGAGTCTATAGAAGAAATCAGCAAGAATGAAATTTATGAAGACATAAAGAGAAACAATTCTGATGAGGTTTAATTTAGAGTTCAGCAAGCTGTTTCTTTCCTGCCACAGAGGAGTTTGTACTCTATCACAACAGGAAGGTGTTTCACTGTTTTTCACTGTCTTAGAAAAGGGATTTGGGAAAGAGCTTTGTGATGGTAGTTTTTAACACTGTCATGATGGGAAATATGTTTGGCTGTGTTATTTTTAATTTTGAGGAGCTAAACCAAATAAGTAGATGTTTTAGTATATAAGGCCAAGTTAACTCAGTTTCAGTGTGATGTCATAAAAAATTCTGATTAAGAAGTAATGTGGTACAATAAAAAGAACACTTAGATTCAGAGAAGTTAGATTCAAATCCTATCTCTGATACCCACTGTCTGTGTGACCTTGCTGTTCCTCACACATAGCTTTCCATCTCACTTGCCATCTCCGTGTTTTTGTACCAGCTGTCCTCCAGTAGATAGCAAAGTTCTTGGATTGCACAGATTGTGTCTTACATTTCTACTTTACTGATACTTTTTTTGGATGCAGACACTTCCTAACACCGCCCCTCCCCAACTCTCCTTAAAGTATATTCCCCCAAAATAGTTAAGGAAAATATTAACGGAAAGGGAAGACTTATGCCTATAACTTTGATAATATAGTACCCCCACTGTCTGTTACATTTGACCGAAGCTTTAGGACTTCTCAGAGATATCTTTTTTCTTTGTTGTAATAATCTATATTCTTCTGTCTCTTCTTTTTTCATTCTGCATCACTCCATTCAAGACTTGAATGAATGCTACACATACATCACTTCTTAAATTGCTATAGTATTCTACTTCATTTGTATGTTCAGCCAGTTCCCAATCATTGGGCAAAGATTCTGTTACTAACAACAAGAAATGTATAAAAGTGTTCATAGCAGGATTTCTGAATAGAAGAATCTACAAAACCATGCCCAACCCTAGAAAATGGCTGAACAAACTTACATTTCTTTTCAATGCATGATGGTGGATGAGCAGAATGGATTCTCAGTGAAGACCTGCAAAAGTAATGAATGTCCCACTTTCTTGGGTTGTTTTGAAGGCCTCTCATTTGCTTGAAATATGTCAAGTATCTAAAAATGTTACTGTATTTCTTAAATAAGATACAGCACAACTTACTAAAAAGAACTATGAATATTACTTGCTTTGGTAATTGGCATAGTTTGCTGATTTTCTAAATTTGACTTCTTCATAAAGATCCCAAATAAGAAAGCCAGAAAAAAGTTTTTTATAGGCACCTAGCTAGAAAGGGAGATTAACTTGATTTTGCCACTTTTTCTTAAAAGCCACATCATTAATCTGATACTTAAAAATTAGCTTTAAGTTATTATTTTCATGTGTACTCTAAGTTGCTTTTAAAAAAAAGGAATAATAATCATCCCAATCACCAAATACTATGATGAATGATCATATAAACACATCACAGAATCTCTAGCCTCTAAAGGAGGGGGGGCAGACAGAGAGTGGAAAGTTTAAGACCATGACATATTATAGAAGGTTTCCTATGGCAGGCACACTTATCTTTCTAAAGATATTTATATTATAGTAACAATTCAGCCTGCTGGCTGAGGGTTAAATGTTTGCTGAACTGATCTGGGTTAAAGGACCAGGGTTTGCATTTTAGTATCAATGCTTACTAGCTTGTTAGCTTGGACAAGTCACTTCCCCAAAGTAAATCTCACTTTCTTATTCAAAGAACAAAGTTGTTGATCTCTAAGGTTCTTTCCAATTTTAAACCTTATGATTATCCTTTTTTTTTTTTAGGCAATTGGGGTTCAGTGACTTGCCCAGGGTCACATAGCTAGTAAGTATCAAGCATTTGGTCTGAGGCTGAATTTGAACTCAGGTCCTCCTGACTTCAGGGCCACTGCTCTATCCACTGCGCCACCTAGCTACCCCAAACCTTATGATTACCATAAGCCATGTTACAACAATGTAAATTTTTGAGAAGTTTCCTTGTGAAAGGAAAAGAGTCGACCTCAACAATTACCTCATCCAATTTAAAGTAACTAACACTATTGCTTGATTGAATCAATCACAGGCATTAGACTAAGTACAAAAAAGTCCTTCATCAATTTAGATATCCTTAAAAGTCACTGGATGAACTGGAGTGATGTTGCACAGAAGTATATTTGGATTTGTTGAGCATTCTCTTGGAATTTTAGAACCCAAGGGATTCAAGTGACTAGTAGCTTAGTGGCAGAAGCCTCTAACCAAGAACAAGAAGGAATCTGTTAGAAAGATGGAGGAAGAACCATCTTGTCCTCTTCTCTACCTCTTCCCTTAACTAGAGGAGTAGCTTCTGAACTTCGGAGGGTCAGCGTACTTGGGACTTTTTCACTGGGATCCTAGTAGTGTGCCTGGGACAGCAGCAGCTGAAACAATGACAGACTGAACTCAGTAAAGAAAGGCAGATTTAAGGCTCTTTAAGGACCCCAAGTAGAAATGTTACTCTGCACCTAAGGGGAACATCTTGGAGATGCCAGCAAAAGAACTTCTAGGATCTGAGTTACCCCTTTGTCTTTTGCCACATGTGCTCTCCAGTTTAAGCTTACTTTTTTCTGGACCCTATATATAATAGTGAGAGAGTGCGTCACTGACTGGGGTGGGGGTGGGGGAGAATATTTTGTACTAGGAGTTTATACCATAATACCTTGACAAAACATCCTTTCCTAAAAACTAACTAATTATGCTTGACTGATATTAAGTAATAATGGAAAGCACACTGTTTGGAGTTTATATGTTATAGCATTAGAAAAATAATCCCCTCAACTCCATAGGGCTACCTTTAGACTCTGAGAGGACAGATAGCAGGTGAGCAATGGTGCCTGACCTACCAGTATGAGTAGAGATTAGGAAAGTATGTCCAGAGCTACTCTTGAATTGAATTTTTTCCTTTAGGATTTACTTAGATAAAGGTGTTTATCAAGTTTACAAAAACTTAGTGTTTTTTTTTTTAAAAATCCAATTTGTGTTTTGGTGCCTAGGGCCAGAGAGACAAAGGAAAAAGAACCTTAAATTTATAGTTGCTATACTGAAAATTACATCAAACAATTTTCCTTTTGAAAAAGTTAATATCCCTGAAAATAAAAATATACCTCTGATCCGTGATATATGAAATTAGTACTTTTGGTCTTTTACACTGAAAGACTATTTATTTATTCTTCATCTACAACTAGGAGGCAGTGCAGTAACAGTAGAAAGAGTGCTGAACTTGGAACCAAAGCTTGAATTCCAGCTCCATCACGTACTGTGATTAGTTTCCCCATAGGTTAATCAATCTATGAGTCATCTGGGCCCTGGCTATTTCTCCTTCCTGCTAACCATATTTTTCCTTGTTCACTAACAATTTCTCCACAGGCTGGGTAGAGGACGAAACTTAAATGACTATCACCTCTTTTCAATTTTACTATTTGTGGACAATTCAGGTAAAAAGGAGTGACTGGTAGAGAGTAATAGGGAAAGAAAAAAGATCAAAGATATGGTAAAAATAAGGTTTTCAGATAGTCTTCAAATATCAGCTCTTTCTACTATTCTTGTCTCTTATGCCCACAGATAACTAAGAGTTTCCTATTCACTTCAAAAATCCTTCTTAAAAGTAAGAATTTAATTCTTTAGTGTCATTCCATTAACTGATTAATATAAAACAAATGGTTTGATATCTTATGAATAATCAGTTCTAAACCAACTATCTGTCTTAGGGAATGCTGACATCCAAATGGAATTACTCTCAACATGAAAATCTACTGATTATTTGCCTCTATGTTAGTTATGACTAAGCTTAACTCCAGGGTATCTCCAGTTATTAGAGAGGTGCCGGCCTAATTTTAAAAAAGTTAATGATATTATTTTAAAATTAAAACATGATATATAGTCCCAATCAAATAATGATAAAGTACTATAATTTTTAAAAAATCCATTGTCCCTGCTGTACAGTTATGGTAAGGAGAAATCTATGTAAATCTTTTTGCTCATTATGAAGCAAAATTAAATCAAACATGACAGATCATGGTAGATGGTCAAAGTAAAAAGAAACACCACAAAACCATATTCTAAACTGGATAAGTCTTTTTACTGAGGTTTTCTAGAGAACCCAAGAAGTAAACTTGGGGTAAGACAGAGATAGCCCTTGTGGCATTGAAGAAAGCAGTCCCAGAGGGACAGATGATCCTGAGATTAATATGAACTAAGAATGGAATGACATGTCATTTATTATGAAGATTTCAATTCTGTTTTCTATAGTTCCTAATATACAGGTAGAAAACCTATAGTTTAAATTCTTTAGACTGTTGTGTTAAATTCCAAGGAAATTGTGAGTAAATGTTTTTGCTACCATTTTACTCAATAAAATGTTTTGCACATAAGTTTTCTAATGCAACCAAATCCTATAACACAAATGGGTATACGCATATAACTAAAGATGAATTCAAGTCTAACCTGGCAGTATTTAGAAATATCTTTTACAAGTTTTCCCAAATTAAGCTAAAAATTAAAAAAAAAAAACTAAAAAATTTTTAAGTCCTCTTCAGTTTTCTGGTGGTCAGGGGTGAGCAATGAAAATATTTCTTTAAAAGGAGAAAGCATGCACTTTAAATAAAAATGAGTTTTAGAACAACATTTCTTTTAAAATGGATAATAAAGTATTTGCTTACCTTGCTACCTTCTTACTGGAGAGTCGTTTATTTGGACTGTGCAATGAATAAAAACAACAGGAAAACAGAGTCAGGAAAACTGACAGAGAAAAGCAAAAGGAAACAGGAAATTCAGACTAGAGAGATATAGGGATGGGGGCACATCCTTACCAAATGGTATAAACACAAGCATGCATTACTCAGCTTTTCAATGACAGTATCCATGCAAAGTCCTATGTTAGGCCCCTTCTTACAGATAAACATAAAAAAGACTTCAATAAATCCCCTCAGATTTCTGCAGTTATCGCAAGCATTAATGGCTGGCTTATTTTAGTTCTGAAACAAATCTTTACACAAAATAGCAATAACAAGACCAAATTAGGACAATTCAGTCTCCTGGCTGTACTAATTCACCTGACAGAATATTCAAAAAGTGCTTAGCTTAAAGGAAAATCTTCCAAATATTCTGGCTGAGAGAAACTAGGTAATCAGAATGGACAATAACACATAGCCTTAAAAACAAAAAAAGTGAATCATGACTGGAGTGTTATGCTTCAAATAATTTACCAATTCGGAAGAATTTTATTTTAGTCTAGCAACCACTGGTTTTTCACAATCACTTGGGGTAACTCTATGGTGGTTTTCTAATTGCTATTCATTTTTGCTACTTGGAATACTGGAAACATAGCAACATAATTTTACAGTTAGAACAGTTAACCATCTACTAAAGACCATTACCTATCTACTTAAACCAAACTAGTCAGTTAGACAAAGTGTTCTTTCTCTCTTTACAAAGAAACAAACTACCAACATTTTACAACTTACGTTTCCCACTGGCTGGTGCTTCTTCCCTTCTAAACCCATCTTTTGCCATTTAACTACTAATATTCTACTTAATGCTTTAACAATGAACAATATTTACTCTAAGTCTAGTAATTTATTGATAGTTTCTTATTCTGCCTTGTGTGAAAAGTCTGTCATCTCTAACAACTAGAAAGACGAAAATCATGCTTACTGATATATTGAGAAGTTAGTTCTCCTGAAATTCATTTACATGAACAAAAAGCCCCACACACAATTCCGCATCATTCTTTGGCTTAATTATTTAAGACATAACTGATCTGTGTCATTTATAAAGATCAAGTAGCAAATTAATTTAGGGAATTTACTTATATGCCATTTTTTTTTACTTTTGTATGACAACTTTTCTACCAGTCTGCCTTTCCACCTTCCTTCTGATCATCAGCTAGGCTCCCTAAATATAACATCATCAAAAATTCAAATGTAATTTACTAACCATTATACTTCAGTAAATTGGTTGCCATCCCATTAAAAGGTTTTGTTATCCGAGGCTGCAATCCTAAGTATATCACTTTTAAAATCTCAGCAAAATAAAGTATTTCTGCAAAATGCCAATAAGATGAGTGGGCTTTATAGTTATTTTTTTGAGTTTACAATAAATGTTAGAATAGATCTTGAATATTTTACAACAGAGTTAGACTAAATCATACTTTTTCTTCTTCACAAAATTCAGTGAGATGGAATTCCAGCCTAGGACAATCATTTGTTTCATTCAAACTTTTATTAAGCATTTACTCTATATGCAATGTACCATATTAGGTACTAAGGAAGCAGAGGTTTTGTTTTTTTTTTAAGAGTCTCTCCCTTCTAGGAAATTATAATCTAATTATTAACAATGTCTTCAATTATGGCTATGTATTCACTGGCAAAATGTTTTATTTTCTAAGATTTTATTATGAACAGATCATTAACCTATTCCCATGAATTAATGCTTTGCCTAGGGGAGGATGTGGTTGAAAACAGTTCTAACGCAAGCTAAATAAGATTAATTTGTAAGCCAAATTATATTAAATTACTTCTTATAAAGCTAATTCTTGTTCTCTCTATTCACCTCAGAGTTTAGCAAAGCTTTGTATAAATAAGTGAGTACTGTATATTTGTAAACAAATGTTATAATGGTTTATTGTAACTACCTTGATATGGCTCTAATTCAACTTTCTTTCAAATGTGGTGAGAAAAATTTACATTTTTTTAGTTATGCATAGTATAGCATGGATTTCAACTTCAAACTCTAAGAATGAGATTTATAAGACTGCTTTCATATTCACTTTCAAAGGCAGCTAACCTCGATTAGAAATTACTAAATAGCATCCAGCACAGTGGTCTGCATGAAGTAGGAACTTAACACACAGTATGAGCCAGCAGAATCACCAAGGGTTTCTATGTTAAAATGCTAAACTCACAGAACTGTTGGAACTGAAAGAAATCATCTGATCTAACTTTCTCATTTTACAGGCACATCCCAAATAATGTTACATCAATAATGCTATTAGAATGATAGAGAAAACTTCCACTACAGCTTTCCTAATCGTGATGCTGCACCTTTGGGACAACAGTCTAAACCTGACAACACAAGATCACAGATTTGGAACTTGGAAGGGAACTCAGAAGTCATCTACAACTCATTTAGAAATTAGAAAACTGAGGCCTAGACTGATTAAGTTATTTGACCAGATTCACACAAGCGAATAATCGGCAGAGCCAAAATTCTAACCCAGATCCTCCAAATCTGCCATTCTTTTTTTTTTTTCCCAGTAGGCATGGCTTTTATTTTATTTTTTTGAGTTCTAAATCTTTTTTTTTCATTTTCTTTTTCATTTTTAACATGTGTTTTTAAAACTTTGGGTTACAAATTCTCTCCCTTCTTCCCTCCCCACCCACCCTCCTTGAAAAGGCAAGCATCTCGATACAGGTTATAGATGTGTAATCATGCAAAACGCTTCCACAGTAGTCATGCTGTGAAAAACTAAGTATATTTCCCTTCATCCTATCCTACCCCCCATTTATTCTATTCTCTCTTTTGATGCTGTCCCTCCTCAGAAGTGTTTGCTTCTGATTATCCCCTCCCCCAACCTGCCCTCCCCTCTACCAACCCCCTGCTCTCTTGCCCCTTTCCCCCCCCTTACTTTCCTGTAGGGTAAGATAGCAAATCTGCCATTCTTTATGCTGTACTCAGTTATGAGAGCTCTCACCTCTAGCTCCCCTCCCTTGGCCTGCCAAACTGTTCTCCTACCTAGGCCTAATTCCAATTTTCCCTGCCTACCCTTTGGTATAAAGGTTTCCAAAAGGGGACAGTGTTACCTGCCACGGTCCTTGAACATGCTCATCAAAATCCCAGTTCTACCCACTTAGGTCAGCTATGGAATTAACTATTTTCTGTAATGCTATATTACCTAGTATCATTTTTTTTTTACTGATCTATGCAATGAATGACATTAGGTAGGCTATATAAAAGAGAAATGTAGCAAGCAAACCATAAGGCAGAAAAGCACGTTGCCTGAGACTACACAGCAGATGCCCGCCAGAGGTGGGACTGGAACCCAGTCTCCTGATTCCTCATCCAGTGCTCATCTCATTATGTAATCCATTACTTCAATCCTCCCTTGGCCAGGTCGGTTTCTCTCCCCACAATAGATTTACTATTTCTACAAATGACTAGTAAAAATATCCATGTGAACTTCATATCCATATTATTACCACCCCTCTTATCCTGCTACAGTTTTTTCAACCCATTTTTAAAATGTCTTCATGACTCTTCCTGCATCAACCATAGTATCAGAGTTAAGACTTTAACTTAAAAAAATCCTTAGACACTATAGGTAAAGGCCAAGGGCTATAAATAATTAGGAGAAATTTACAGGTAGGCTATAATTAGAACTCGGACAAAGTACTAGTGTGTGATGTGGTCTAAATTTAATTATATCAGTTTACTTGCAACTAAAGATCAACAAATGACTCCACCTTTACCTAACAAAGAACAACAAAAAGAGTATGTGAGATAGAAATGGGGAGTGATTTCGAAGAAAGCAAAAAAGGAAACATATATATACATATGGGAGCATTTTGAATGACTTCTAACATTTTTGCAGTCAGCAAGAATTTACCTTTATTTCAGGCTCAGTTGTATATGGGTTGACTATGCCTGAAGAATATTCAGCATCATTAGCAGAAATGTTCTTGCATACAAAAATCTAAATCTAAAATATTAACTACAAACAAGTTTTCTGAAGTTGTGAAGTGCCTGTAAAAGGAAAAGGTTTAAAGAAATCTAACTTGGAGGTGTTAATAACAGGGAGGTTTTGATTTGAACTAGAGTCAGGGATCAGAAATGAAAGAAGAAAACAGATAATTCATAAATGAAAGGGAAAAGAGTTGAATCTGGTACCACTGATTTGCTGCTGAAACCCAGACTTTTTCTTTTAAACACAGAGGTTAAAAAGCTGAATTTTTATGGTAACTGACTAAAGCCAAAGGAAGTCTTAGTACAATCTATTCAAAATAAGATCTAATTTTGAGTGCAGATATATCTTATTTTATATGAGTACATTCCCTAGAATTTCATGTAAACCAAATTTTTGCTAACAGTAATAACAGCCAGCATGTATATAGTGCTTTAAGGTTTGCAAACATTAAATGAATTAGGTTTATAACTATATTGCATGTTAACTAGCTAGCTTTTTAAATGAATCATATGTGGAAAATAAGTCCTTTTGCAATGTGAAGAATGATACAGTTCAAATAAATGAAATAACTCCCTAATTTATCTGCTTGGCAAGTCCAGATTTGCCTGTACTGGCTTTATGTCAGTAGGACAGTCTAGTAACAATTGTTAGCCCCAGTAACTGGGGAAAAATGACCCTTAGACTGCATCATGCAAAGTATAATGAAGAAAGGATGACTTCACTAAACACAGAACAAACAACATGCAAAGGTGCTGGGTCAGATATAAAGGGAAGATTCCCATCATCAGTTATACTCTTCTCCTTAATTGGAGGCTCAGGAATTCAGGTGTTCAGGAACAAAGAGTCACAGGGCACACTCTAAGTTACAGTGAGGCCACCCTGGCTGACATTTTGATTAATTTAAACAGACTAAGATGAGAAAATGCCAAGTCAAGTAACTAAACAGCAGACAATGAGCATAACCGTTTCTCCTTAGAAACAAAATGCCATGCCACTCACTGAACCAATTACCTATTCATTTCAAGATCATTCAGGCGAGCAGAAAGATCCTCAAGGCGGTTGATTTGTTTGTGGCACTGGCTACAGTAAAATTCAAATGCCTCATCAGTGAGAATGCTGTGCAGTTTCGCAGCAAGTGGGTTGGTACTAGAGAAATCAGAAGTGTCAGTTTAGGAGAAGAATTTGGACCAGTACAGTTGGATAGCTGTGACTTTCATGAGTTTGTGTCTGAAGACTAACAATGGAACAAGTACACAAAAGCACTGATGTGTCATAAAAACCATGGCAAATGTTCATTTTTCCCAGTTGGAATTACATTTAGCTTATGTTTTCTTAAGCGACTACTTTTTTGGGGGGAGGGGACAACATTATTATAGGAATGTGATATGTAACCTGGTTTAATAAGCAACAAAGGAATTTATCAAAAGTATCTGGTCAATTTTCATAAGTTGTTTAAAATAAAACATTCTGCAGTTCTCCAACTTTATTTTTAAAAGAAATAAAGAAGGTAGACACTATAACCCACTTTAATTCTACAGTCTAATGTCTTTAATAGACCTAGTTATTCCTCATAGTATATATTGGATTTTAAAAAAAGGCACACCAAGCTCTGCAGCTTCAGGATGAAATCACCCTGGAGAATAAATCAACAAATCAATAAGTCAATGTATCAATAAACATTTATTAAGCATCTACTATGTACCAGGCACTGTGCTAAGTGCTGCGGATATAAAAAGAGGCAAAATACAGTCCCTGCCCTCAAGGAGCTTACAATTTAATGGGGGAATAAATGTATATGTGTATGTTTGTGTGTGTTCACACACATATGTGCTATATAATATATACATATACATATGTGTATGTACACAAATATGTGCTTGTATATATCCATCCATACACACACACACACACACACACACACACACACACACACACACACAGAGATACATCTATACTTCAAAAAATCCATCATTTCACCAATGCCAGTATTTCCTCCTCTGATGCACAACATGACCCTCAATGCCTTTAGCAGACTTAGCAGACTACATAAATTGCTGTGATCAAAGCTTCTGGAAAGACTCTAAACTTACTTGCCTAGACCTTGGGTAAGAGGCATACATAGGCTTTCAGCTGGCCAGCTTGGTAATACCTGCTTGAGCTTGTACTCTGTTGGTATAGACTCAGAACCCAGAGTTACCTCCATGCCATGATGAGTCCTAAGTATAGGACTTTGGTTGAAGATTATATATAATATATAGGGGCATACACATAAAATGGCAGCTGACACTTGTAAAGGACTTTACAATATATAAAAGCACTTTAGAGACATTATTTCATTTGCTCCTCAAAAGAACTCTATGAAGTACTAAGAATAGAGCATAAGATCGTACTTATAGAGCCGATGGGGACCTTACAGGCCACCAAGTTTGACCCCACCCCTCAATTAACAGATGAGGAAACTGAGGCCCAGGGTTGTTAAGTGACTTGGCTAATGTCATAAAGATAATGTTGAGGGCAGGACTCGAACTAAGGTCCTCTGACTCTAGAGTATCATTCCCATTTAATGGATGAGAAAACTGAGGCAGGGAACTTACAGGACTTAGGCAAGTTTTCATAGCTAGTAAGTGGCTAGGCCAGGATTCAAACCCAGGTCTTCCAATTCCCAATATATCATATCCATTACATTACAACTGCCATTTAAAGACATTTACATACACATGCACATAAGTAGGGACAGATGTGTATATGCATAGGGTAGGGGGAGGTAGCTGTAGTGCTACAGTGTATAGAGATGGCCTTGAAGCCACTAAGACCTAAGTTCCAGTCCCACCTGTGACACACAGTATTGGGTGACAATGGTTAAGTCACTTATCTGCCCAGCGACCCAAGCCCATCTCTAAGATTCTGAGTTGAACAGCTGCAGGTCAGCTTTGCTAGAAGGAATTTTTTTTTTACTGGAAGTTACCTATACCAATAAAATCACAGGTCTGGATTTTTAAAAGAGATAAATGTAAAGTCTTACACTTATATACACTTCACATTCACAAGTTGGGTGAGGTGTAGCTGGTCTGAAAAGGATCAGGATTTAGTGTACTTCAAACTCTAAGTAATAACGATACAAGCCAGCAGCTTGAAATGGCATCTAAAGAGGCCAACGTCATCCTAAGAGAAGGGCAATTACAAGGATAAAGGAACTGATTATCCCACTGTACTTTGCACCCAAGTACTGGGTCTATACTGTCATGCTCTCAATTAGGAAATGGTAGGAAAAACTTGCCCAGGGACAGTTCCAGCTTTGTCTCTGCATCTCTAGTACCTAGCCCAATGTCTGGCACATCATAAGCATTTAGCAAACACTTGTTGAATGCTTAAAAAAACTGAGGATCTTGAGTCTCTAGCAGGGAAGGCATGGGGGACATGACAACTGTCTTCATGTGTGTGAAGTACTGCCACACGGAAGAGAAGATCAGAGGGCAGAATGAAGAACAATGAGTGGAAGTTTCAAGGGGGCAGAGTTTGGATCAACACCAAGAACAACTTCCAAATAGTTCAAATGGTTACAGCTGGACAAAAGTGGAAGGGGCTGCCTTGGGAGGTGCCAGGTTCCCCCTCATGGGAGCTCATAAAGCAAGAAGTGGATGATCACGTTTCTGGTATGTCATAGAGGAGATGGTATAGTTCAGGTACAGGTTAGACTACATGACTCTGAAGTCCCCTTCAATACTAAGATTCTGTGAGCCTGGCTCCAGCCATCTGCCTGTGGGTCTGCTCTACAACAATCAGCCTAGTCAAGAAGGAGGCTCATTACTACATGACTGGCCACAGCAATTATGAAGACTGTTTGCTAAAGCACTGAAGGTTTTCAATCAGCATCAAGGGAAGGTATACACACACCAAGAAAATGAATCTTCTGAAGAAGTCAAGTAATACTTTACAACAAATTTTTAATTGTTTTCTAATCAGTGAAATTCTGCTTTCTCCCCTCCCCCCACCTCTCACTGAGAAAGAAAGAAAAATAAAACATTTGTCACAAATATGTATAGTCAAACAAAACAAATTCCTGATATTGGTCATGTCCAAAAAAATCTCAATTTGTACTTTGAGTTCCATTACTTCTCTGTTAGGAGGAGAATTTAATCACAGAGGTGGTCTGTTTAATCATGAATCCTCTGGAATCAACTTTGCAACTATTTCAATAGTTATTGTATAAATCAGTATTAGAGGTCTAAAAGGGATCATTTTGCCAATTCAATTACATTAGATGAAAAAATCAGTGTTTTATTTCTAGAAATTATAAGCTAATTGCCCATGGTTGAATTTTAACTGAATTTTCAATTTTATAGAGTATGCTGATAATCATTTGTTAATGGACAATGAGGACTATAATGGAGTATATCTGAGCTATCTTCAAACACAATACCTTTTGGAAGCCACAAGCTTAATATAAATGATAGTTAATATTGAAATATAGTTTCATATGGAAATTATACCTAAACAGAAAAAAAAGGAAACATCACACAAGAGGATAGGAAGTAGAATGAACAAATAGAGCCAGGCTATCAAAATAGTAGCATATTTTACAGGATATACTTGATCTCTCTTAATCATATAAGCTAAATTAAATTCTATAAATTGCTTTATACTCTCATAAAATATACAGTAGAAGAAAATAATGTTTAAAACACACATGCATTAAACAGGTAAGACATGAAATCTGGATCATATTGCATTGTGTTGTTTTCTCTTAAGTGTGACAGAAAAGAATAATTTCTGGTGTTCTCTAAAAGGAAATGTATTGTAGCAACACTATGATAAAAGGAATATTATTTCAGCAGTAAAAAGTAAAAATATTATTTCAAGAAAAATCTCTAACCACTACATATAACACAACACAAGAAAAAACAAGACAAAACCTATCTATTTCAGATATTCCTAAACCAGAATTTACATTTTTAGTTGATACTTCAGAAAAACCCAAACTAATTGGAACGGCCACAATAAAATCAATTTTTTTTATCTGTACTAATTTTACCATCCAAATTCTTAGCTTGGTTTCATTTTAAAATCATTATACTTGGAAAGAACTTAAGAGAGTGACAAAAATACTCATATTGATGGGGGGGGGCTGTCATAAGTCCCCATTATATCACAAATACCTTCATGAAAAACAGTAGGTATTTCATATTATAAGAGGACAAAAAGGCTCTCAAGTTCTTATGCACCTCTGGTAACTTGAAAAACAAAAGCCTAGTAAAATGTATTAGAGCTAATTTTTCTTTCCCTGTCTCAGGGTACTGACATCCCTTCTGTTTCCGAACATTACCTTAAAATTTCTCTTCCTGGAACTTATAAGCTGACAAGGCCAAGTGAGAAAAGCTTCATTTTTCTTACAAATAACATTATAAAAGTGAATTATATTTCTTGTTTACCCAAATAGGACAAAAATTGCATAAAATGTGAAAAGTAGCCAGAGAAAAACCTAAGAGATTTATATATGAGTTCTTCAGTTTATGTCTCTGATCATTCTAAGACTCAAAGGTTTTGTACTGGTATCTATAGAAAACACTCTGCAGTTAATAACAGAAACAAAACCTATGACATTTATTCTACTTATGGCCTGAAGTAATAATCTATTCCATGACATTGTCCTATATTTATTTTTGTTTAACATGATCATGACCTGACATATCCAATTTAAAATACTTAAAGGTTTTCTCTTTAAAACATTAAATCTTGGTCTTAGTTTAAAATATCTAAACATTGGGGGGAAATGCTGTAATAGCTGCTGTGTGACTTTTAGGTTAAAATTCCTTAATTAAGCTTGGTACTCTACTACTGCTCAGTTTCTCTTCTCAGGTCATAAAACCTAGAAAAAAGCTTTCATACTAAGAAAAGGAGAAAGGCAATAAAGCAATTTTCAAGTTCCTGCCACTGCTAACAAGTAGAAGGAGGGGCTTCCTGACTTCTCATAATCCCAAGTCCTCTAAGCTCTGGCACTGACTTCACTTTGTGCAAGTCATTTAACCCTTGCTGATGCAACCAGCAGAGCAATGTGTGAGATATAAGGGTTGAACTTAAAAGCCTATACGAAGTGCTTTTTAAAGGGTGAGGCAACTGTCTACGTGCTAAGGAGAGTTCCACGAGATTAATAACAAGTTTGTGAAAAGTGAACTGCTAGTTCTTTTTGTACACTTTTTCCTAGTTCTACAAATTTTTGATAGAGACACAGTTTTCTAACACACAACATTTAACAATAATACTCATAATTCTAACCCTACTCTTCTAGAATCCATTTCAAGAAAGCATAAATATTTCCATGGAAATGGATTACTGGATAGTGGCATATTCCCCAAAGGTGAGGAAAAAAAACCCAAAAAGCTATCAATACAAATTGAAAAAAATTTAAATACTAAGGAAATTTCATGAAAAGTAAATAGAAAATGATATAAAGTACTGAATTTCTTTCAGGTTTTAGACCTGGTTCATTTGGGACCAGGGAATAATATTTGCCCTGCCAAACAGCATTGTAGAAAAATCTTAGATAGTCATGAGTAAAAATCCTACCTTAAAATTTTTATTTTGTTTAAGGCATAAAGTGCTCCTGTTACCAAAAACACAGACGGAACGGGGAATTCTGAAGGGATCACTGATTTTTATGGACATGCTACTTCTTATGATCATACCAATTAACTCAGAAATAATTTAATGGCATTTTCTTCAACCAGAAAAGTTACAGGGTTTACTATAAAAAGTAGTAAGAGCTGAGTACATATGATAATAACTTTAAACATGAAATGTTAGAACTTCTTAACTGACAAAAAAAGTGATTTATTGACATATATAAAAATCTTCAAAGACAGCTGTGTCCATATTATAAAACACATGCACACATATATATATATGATATACATATATTATCTAAGGACTACTAATCATAAACTTTTGAAGGGTCATTCCTGGAATATTAAAAGTATCAGAAATGAGGTTCACAGTCAGAAATAATAGAAAATGGGATCAGAAGAGCCTATACAATGCTACTAAACCCAAAGAATCTTATGAAACCAGTAGATAAAACAAAAGCAGCTCTTCGGTATATAGTTGCAATAGGATTCAAAATTAGGAATTTATAAATACATTGTTTCAAAGCAGTAAAATGCTATATTACTATATTTTAAACCTTAAAATTTTTGTGTAAATCTGTAGATATAACTAGACTGTGACCCTTCTGTCAACTTTTACTCAGGTAAGTAACAATGTTTCAAAAGATTGGTGAAATTATTCTACATTTAGGTCTTCTTCCCCCTTACAAAGGAAAAAGGCAAAGGCATCTCTGGTGATTAAAGACAACAAGGTCAAGGAAACAGAAAAGCATAACACCACTATTGACATGTTTTTACCTGGGAGAAAGAAAAGAGCTGCTAAAGCTGGCTTCTCCATTACACAAGTTATCAGAAAACAATTCCGCCTCATTCCCTTCTCCATAATCTTCAAAATGCTCCTCCCCACTGATCACAGTAACGATGGAGTGGTTGTTCAGGTCTGAGCTCAAGGACAGGTCATGTGGGTGGGATCTAAAAGAGCAAAGAGTAAAAAGGCAAGGAAGCATTACCATTCTGACAAGAAGCCCTATTAGAACAAGTGCTAGAAGAACTTGGGCTTCTTAAGACTGAATTTAAGAGACAAGAGAAGAAACAGACATGGACACAGAAAACTCACTTAGGACAAAGGCTTTTAGAGGAGCTAGGTTTTCAACTGCCCACTCGGTATGCTTTTCATTTATTGCATAATGGTGTTTAATATAATTACCCTTTTAATACCTCTACTAGGTAAAGGTACGCTTTGAAATCTTTGAGGCTCTGTAAATCCACAGTATCATCATAAAGGTCATTCTAATTGAAACAATTTTTAAAAAATCTGACAGAACCACAGTGGGTTCAATGCTTGTTCAAGGGTACTGGTGGAATAGAGAGAAGGTTACAAATTATGCAGTTGTGTATCCACCGTCACTGAACATGACTAAAAATGTTTCTTGCCTTTAAAAAATGTACTATTGTTAACAAATGAAAAGGTTATGTTCCATTAACATCTAGTACTTTGAAGCCTTTGCTTGAATAAAGAAATACTGGATCAGAATATGATCACATTTAAAATATTATGAACAATACTATTAAAATTCAGTATTCACCTGACTCCAAACTGTCTGTAGTCCAAGATCCTTATCTAAAAATGTGCTGTCCTCAGTGTTAACAAAAGAACAAAGTGCTTCTCTCTACCAGCAAAGGTCAGAGAAAAACACTCCACTTAAAAGTGTTATTTCCTTTTGTTAAGATTAAGCTTTTATTTTAGAAACATGATAGTTCTTGGAAAGAATTTTCAGAGTATGCCAATATAAATGAGTATTTAGTAAGACAGTGTTTCCCAACCTTTTCAAGTATGGGACTCCTTTATAAAATGTTCAATTATAAACCAAGAGAAATAATGAAATAACCATGTAAAATAAGGAATAAATACTTAGGTAAAATTCTTAGCATTCAACAGCAAAAGTCTAAATGAATTAACAACGGACAAAAGCAAAAAAAACCAACCCACTTTTGTTTGGGGCTTCCTTTCTAAGTCAATAAAGTTTGTGTACCTTTGAATTTTTACTTCTTTCTTTTACATAATTATAGACAAAGAATCACAAATTTAGAGCTGGAAGAGATCTTGGACATTAGACGCTAGGTACTGGTATCCCATTTACTGGATGAGGAAGTGGATGTAAAGAGATGTTAAGTAATTTGCCTCAAATCAGATGGCTGGTCTGTGGCACAGCCCAGGCTGGAACCTAGGTCTAGTGCTCTTTATTAATATGAGTGTGTATTTATAGGTCATTTCTTTTCATTGAGGTTATTAGATTAATCAAGTTATTAAATGCCTACTATATGCTAGGCATAATGCTAGGCACTAGAGATACAGAGACAAAAATGAATGGTCCCTGCCCTTAAGCGCTCACACTCTACCAGAGAGATACCTACGTATGATTTATGTACATTAATAAGTACTTGTAAAAATATAGACAAAATGAATACAAGGTTCAGTGTGGGGGTGGTGGACACTAGAAGCTAGGAGGATCAGGAAATGTTGTTTTGTGGAGAAGGTGGCACTTGAGTAGTTTTGAAGGAAACAAGAGTTCTTGTCTTTGGTTGAGAAGGAAGATGTGAAAGGGGAGTTTATTCCAGACTCCGGGAAGAACAAAGTCAGGAGACAGAGTATCATGAAGGAACAGGAAGAAGGCTGCTTGGGCTTGATCCTAGAGATGGACTGGAAAACTCTCCAACAGTAACAACAATTCAGTTCAAGTATTCATGAAGTTCCTATTCTTTGTTCAACACCATGCCAGGTATTAGGGATACAAAGAAAAAAATGGAAACAAGTCTTGCCTTTAAGGAGCTTATGTTTTACTGGGGTGAAATAACATGTACATGGATAAATAAAAAGAAACTGTATATTTTTTTTTTGGTCTAGACTTTTGGGTTCATTAGCATAGCAAACTCCTGATGAGGAAACACTCTCTACCAACACTGATCTGTAGCTGTTCTGTAATTTGTCCTTTTAGAGACTAGCCTGATGGCACCAATAAGTTGCCCAGGGTTACGCAGCCACTATAGGTTTGACAGGACTTGAATCCAATTTTTCCTAGCTCTAAGGATGGCTTTCCTTACTACCTTGAATGGAAAATATATACCAAATAAATATAAATTTTATATAGATAGATAGATAGATAGATCACTGATCTAGTTAGAGATTAATGCAGCCTATGCTGTAAGGTATAGACCCAAACCTTTTTTTTTTTCTGGCCATACACATAACAATGCAGTTTTCCCAATCATTCTTACTGAATAATGATTCTCTTCTTTAGTGCTTTTTAAATAAAATACTAATCTTTTATTTTCAAAACTTAAAAAACTGGAACAAAAAGGAAGTACTATATTTGTCGCAGAGGAATGATTAAGAGGAATGATATTTTTACTTATGAAAAAAAATTTTGGAGAAAAAGTTGATGGATTTGATTATACAAAAATAAAGATTTTACACAACAAAAAGCAATTTAAAAAAGGAAAAACAGACTACATGATCATATAATTAAATGGAAAGAGACTAATAAAACTGATAAGAAACTGACAAGCAAAAAAAGAATCCATTTATGTTAATAGATAATTTTAAAACATAAACATAGAAGGGACTTTCTATAATAAGGCATGTATATACTTGAATCCATGAACTAATATATACAAGAAACACCAGAACCTTTCCCATTAAAAATAGCTATATAACAGTCATGTCTACTTTAGTACACTCAAAATTTTTAGCAATAATAAACTATTTTAATAAAGTACAAGAATATAAAATAAACTTACAAAGTCATCCACATTCCTATAAAACACCAGTAAGAATCAATAAAAATTGAGAGAGAGATGCACTTCATGGTAACTACAAAATATATCAAGTATTTGGACATTAACTTATCAGGAGGTATAAGAAATCTACACTAAGAAAATTTTTAAATGATTTTTGACAGAAATCAAGGAAGAGCTGAACAAATAAAGGACTAATTTCCTGTTCATGGCTAGATTAGGAGGCAGCTAAATGGGGCAGTAGATAGAGTGCTGGAGTTGCAGACAGGAAGGCCTCAGTTTCACTGCTGAGTCAGATATTAATTATGTGATCCTGGGCAAGTCACTTAAATCTCTCTGCCTCAGTCTTGGTTTCCTCATGTATAAAATGGGGATAAACCAAGGTTGTGAGGATCAAATGATATATGTAAAATGCAAGCCTTAAAGTATTATATAAATGCTAGCTCAACTACTAATAAAAATGTCAATACCTCAAAAATTAATGTATATATTTAATGCAATACTTGGTTAACTCACAAAATTAGATAGTCATAATAAAATTTATATGAAAAAAACAGACCAGCAAAGTATCAAGAAGAATTATGAAAAAGAAAACTTGGAAAGAGAGACTAGTATTATCATACTGTAAAGCAGTGCTTATCAGAACCATCTGGTATTGGAAAAAAGAAGGAAATAGATAAGTGGAAAAGAACAGAAAACTATAGAATAACTGTTGTTGTTTGGCCATTTCAGTCATGCCCAACGACTCTTTGTGACCCTATGGTGGGGGGAAGGGGTGTTTCTTGGCAAAGACACTGCAGTGGTTTGCCATTTCCTTCTCCAGGTCATTTTTTTACAGATGAGGAACTGAGGCAAACAGGGTTAAGTGACTTGCCCAGGGTCATATAGCTAGTAAGTATCTGAGGCCAGATTTGAACTCATGAAGATGAGGCTTCCTGATTCCAAGCCCAGTGCTCTATCTACTGTGACACCTAGTTACTGAAAATATGAGTAAATGTATATAAAAGGTTAGTATTTGATTTTTAAAATGCTGAGGAATAAAATTATTATTCAACATAACTCCTAGGAATACAGAGGTGATGGTCTCCCTGTACTCTGACTTGGTCAGACCTTATCTAGATTGCTGTGTTTAGTTTGGGGCACTATGGTTTACGAAGAACACTGAGCAGCTGCAAAGTTTCCGGAAGAGAGGAACCAGCACAGTGAGGGCCTTGGATCCATCTCCTGTGAGGATCAGTGGAAAGAATTAGGCATATCTGGTCTGCAGAATACTCAGGGGGGACGGAATACCCATGTTCAAGAATCTGACGGGCTGTCTTTTGGAGGGACGATTAGACATGCTCTATCTGTCCCCAGAGGGCAGATGTTTCAAAGAAGCCAACATGGCCTGATGTCAGGATAGACTTCGTGACAACTAGAGCTGTGTAAGAGTGGGATGACTGCCTCAAGAGGTGGTAGACACTGAAATGTCTAGCAGAGGCCGTACAACCGCTTGCCCAGGAAATGACAGTAGAGATTCCTTCTGTGCAGAGGTTGAACTACTTGGCTGCTGAGTATTCTTCCAATTCTCAAATACTGTAATTCTGCAAAAGAGGTTGGGTGGAAATTTCACAGGGCCAAATTCAATGAGAACTTGAATGGTTGTGAATTCAAAGTTGCTATAAAGAAAACCAAATTTCTTGAGAGGGACCAGTTTTTGTTCCAACACCTTCCGGAAAATTACTGGAAAATCACATGATGTTGGCTTGCAATTTAATAATCTTACTAAGGTGGCAAAAGTTCCAAAACATTGTCACGAAAATTTTCTTTAAAAAGATATTCACAAAATCTTTACAAAACAAATGAGAATCTAAAAGTAATTTTTTAAATTTTGGTTTCATTTGAATTGAACAATCTTTACAACACATGCTACTGGCTGTATTTTAAGTAAGTTTCAAAATTCAAAAATGTCTCAAGATAAATTCAAATTTTAAATTTGATTTAGAGCTGGAAGGGACCTTAGAAATCATCGAATCCAATATCCTCATTTTATAGGTGAGGAAATTAAGACTTAACAAGGTTAAATGACTCTGACCAAGAATACAAGGGTAGTAAGGGATTTGAACTCAGATCCTCACACCAAACCCAGCCCTCTTTCTACTATACCACACAATGATCAGATTCAGGGAGGTATAAATTTCATGACTGGTAGACTACACCTATATAGGGCACCACACTTTTGGAAGAACATTGAGAAGTTGAGGCATGTCCAATGGAGGGCAACCACAATCATGAGGGAACTAGAAGTTGCACCATATGATAATTGGAAGGAAGTGGAGATGTTTAGCCTGGCATAGAGAAGACTCTGGGCGAATATGACAGCTGTGTTCAAGTATCTGAAAGACTGTCACATAGAAGAGCAGCTGAATTTGTTTTGCTTGGCCCCAAAAGGCAGAACTAGTAGCAGTGGGTAGAAATTACAGAAAAGTAGATTTTTGTCTGACATAAGGAAAACGTCCTAACAATTACAGTGACCCCAAATTCAATGGGCTGCTTCTGATTGCAGTGAGTTTCCCTTTACTAGAGTTTCTTAAGAGAAGAATGACTGATATCCACTTTTCAGAAATAGAGGGGATTCCCCAGGAATGGACTGGACTAACTGGCCTTTTAAAATCTCTTCTAACGCTTGACCTTATGAGTGACTTCCTATTCTGAGATTCTGGGATTCTTCTTTCATTTTCTCTTCAAATTAATTCAATATACATTCTTCATATAGCACCTTATATATGAAAAGAACAGCACTGATATGTGGGGAAATTCGTACTTGGAAAGGGTCCTTGCCCTCACAAGGTCTCTAGCAAATAATTTGTGTAATTCTATTCCATCATTTAATCCAAAGAGTATTTGAGCTGTAGAATTTTGTTAGTATTGTAAAAATAATAAATTAGAAAATTATAATGCAAGAAGCCAAAACTTTTAGCATCAATTTCTTGCCTTGTTATATTTGCTTATTCTTTCTCTCACCCTACAAAAATACTTCTTCCCAATCACCCACCAAGCTAAATTACTATGGAGTATATCTTTTAAGGATCAATGTTTAGATATACGAAATTTTATGATGATAATTCCAAGAAAAAGAGGAATATTCTCAGTTTTCTGTCATATATTTTAATGGCTTGCTTACTTAAAACCAGCACTTTCTTGTGGTCTTGCTCAGTGGACAATTACATTCCGAGAACTGATCATTATAAAACTACATATTCAGGAAAAAAAAATCACAGATAATTTTATTTTGTAAATAGTCTAAGTACCACTAATTGGTAACATGCCTATAGGGCAGTCTTGGGCTACGAATTCTAAGATAGCACTCTATCTTCCCTTTACTAAAAAGCAAACAAAAAATATTTTTCCTTTTCTTTCTTTTTTTTAACTTTTCTTTTTCTCTAAATAAATTTCTCTTTCATTAAACTACCATTTTCAGTGCTGAATCAATCATTTTAAGATTATACTTCATTGTTTCATATGATCATAGATTTAGAACATGAAGGGACCCTAGGGATTATCTAGTACAACCCTCCTCATTTTGTGGACAAGAAAACTAAGGCCTCCAAAAAGAAAAAGAGCCTTGCCCAAGGTCACACAAGTACAAGAAGCAGAGGTGGGACTTAAACCCAGGTTCTTCAAATCCAAATCTGGTACTCTTTCCATTGTACCCTGCTCTCTGCCATGATTTCAGCCTCACTGGGAGCCCTCAGCTTTGCTCACTCTGCCAGAAACAGATTCTAACTCTACTGCCTCTACTGTCAATCTCAGCCTCCAGCTTACCTGTCCACGGCCATGGCCAACCTCACTGTGTATTTCTTTTTTTTTTTAACTGAATATTTTATTCTATTTATTTATTTATATGGGATTAAGTGACTTGCCCAGGGTCACACAGCCAGTAAGTGTCAAGTGTCTGAGGCCACATTTGAACTCAAGTCCTGCTGACTCCAGGGCCAGTGCTCTATCCACCGTACCACTTAGCTACCCTCCTCACTGTGTATTTCAACATCAATATCCATAATGGGCTGCTGGACTGAGATACTCTTTAGCTAATTGTAGACAATGTTCCAAGATAGTAGAAAACTTTCGTGCTCTGAGCAATGGAAGGAAGGGCTGTGCTTACAAGGGAACATGCTTTCTCAAAAGCATTCCTGGGTTCAAATGTCAGGGTTGTGACTTCACATGCCATAATGGCACTGCTGGCAAGTTCATCTATGGGAAGAAATTTGTTGATGAGAACTTCATCCTGAAGCACATTGGACCTGGCATCTGGTCCATTGCAAATGCTGTGCCCAACAGAAATGGCTCAGGGGCAACTAGATGGTGCGGTGGAAAGAGCTCTGGCCTTGGAGTCAGGAGGACCTGAGTTCAAATCTGAACTGAAACACTTGTCACTTACTAGCTGTGTGACACTGGGCAAGTCACTTAACCCCAAATATCTCAGCAAAAGGTAAAAACAAAACAAACAAATAAAAAAAGAAATGGCTCACAGTTATTCCTCTGTACAGTTAAAACTGACTGATTGGTTGGCAAGCATGTGGTCTTTGGCCAGGTGGAGGAAGGTAAGAACATCATGGAAGCCATGGATCACGTCAGATCCTGGGATGGCAAGACCAGCAAAAAGATCACTATTGCTGACTGTGGACAACTCTCCTGAGTTTTTTTGTTTGTTTTGTTGTTTGTCTTAATCATCAAACACTCCTCTGGAGCTAGGGAGAGCACTCCAGTCTGTTCTCATACTCTACAATCCTTATGCTCCCATTTGTTGCAATTCTTTTTGGATTACATTTCCCTTTTCCTTCCACAAGTCTGGCTAGACTGTGAAGTTAAGTTTATGATTAAGAAATAAAAACTAACAGGGCAGCTACTTGGTGTAGTGGATAAAGCACCAGTCCTGGAGTCAGGAAGACCTGAGTTCAAATCCAGCCTCAGACACATAACACTTACTAGCTGTGTGACCCTGGGCAAGTCACTTAACCTCACTGCCCAGCAAAAAGAAAAAAAAAAGAAAAAAAGAAATAAAAACTAACCTACAAAAAAAGATCTATGATTTGCTCCTTCCACTGATTCAGATCACAACCCCTCTACACCTCAGTAGACTGTCTCACAAAATGGTGTGTCTAAAAAATAATCATGTCATGACCAAAAGTCAATAAGATCCACTAAATGACAGTAGATAAACAGCCCATTGCTAGTCTCCTATGGAAGTCTTTCCAACTTTACAGGACCTGACAAGAGTTTACAAATTCCTGGCACAGCCATCAGGAACTATGAGTCCCCTACATACTACAATGAGGGATGAAGTAGGACTTTAGTAGAAGGTTTAAGACCATAGTATTCTATTAAACTAATAGTCCCTCCAAGTCTTCCAATGTGTTAAATAAACATTAAATTGTTCATATAAAGTTGGATTCTTGGTAACAAGTGCTAACAGGAAAGCTAGATAACTTATACTTCAGGTTATCCATCCACTGATCAACAAATAAGCATTTATTAAGTAGCAAATATATGCCAGACACTAATTAGACATAAGTTACCAGGAAGGTTAATATTTGCACTAGATCGAATGACAAAATCTTAATACAGGAAGAGAATATTTTAGCAGGTCAAAATAGTAAACCCTCAGCCGCTAGAGGTACTATACTGACCCATGATGTTTCCTTGTAGTAACTGCAGCAAACAAATATAGCAAGTTATCTTTTATGCTCTATAGTCTGCAAACTTCCTTTTCCCCATCTCCAAATATAAGCTCTTGGACTTTATGACTATGTCAGAGATGACATACGAAGTTGGCTGCTGACACAGACTTGGGGAAGGGTTCCCTATTTGAGGCCTCCAAGCAGATTCTGAGTGATTCTAAGATGCTCCTACAAAATATTACTAGATTGTAAGCACTTTCAGGGCAGAGGAGGTATCTTATTTCATTTTTGTTTCTTATTGCCCGGCACAGTGCATTGTCCATAGAATGCACTTAATAAACATTTGCTGAACTGAAATCTCTCCCTTTCATCATAAGTGGGAACACAGCCAAAAGGCATGTTTCTCTTTTTGCCTATAGTTCTTCCTCTCCTCTCAGCAACAAAATTCATGCACAAAAATATCAATTTATTTGGAATCACCAGAGCAAAAAATAGTTCATGCTTGGCACAGAGCATGTGCTTAATAAACAGTTGTTTGAATCATTATATGGAGAAATTAATATTTAAAGAGATCATGGGAGTTGGGGCATAAGGAAAAGTATTGCCATTTGTCTCAGATAAATCAATACTGGTAAAAATGACTAAACCACAAGCTAAATTTTTGTATGAGCCCACTATTTGTATATGAGATCTGTAAGATGTAATGTTATTTAGTCAGACCCTTCACATTAAGCAGTGAATTTACTCTGACAACTTCCCTGACAAATAAATTTAATTGATGACTCTACTATTTATTAAATAATATTTTACTACTAATACCAAATACTCAATGTACCTGTTTTACTATTTAAAGAAAGCACTTTTTCAAATTCATATAAATTTTGTACACATACTTGTCAGGTGTGAGGAGCAATGGCCCATTCTCTGGTTCTTCCATGCCATCTGGGCACTCTGAGTGACCAGCAGAATCAATAGCGCTGTCTGTTTCTACTTCGTTGTGCATTTCGTGCTGCACTAATGTGCTGGTATCCTCATCTGTGAAGGTTTCACATTCACTGTAAGTACTCTCTGAACCCATGTAAGCACTGTCCGTCACCTCATTTGCCTATTAAAGAACAAAAACAAAAATTACATAAATCACACAATTTAATTCCATACATTTAATTCAAGGGAATAATCTTCCAATATAAAGGACTTCAATTTTCAAATTCTTTGTTCCAGCATTTGAAAACTACATTTTTATATATTAGAAAACAAGGTTTTATTCTGCCATAATATGTATTTCAAAATAAACTGTCATCAATATTTCTCTGTACTCATAAGGGACACAGAATTATCAAGTATCCAATAAAGACTATCAAATCCACAGTTTTGTAATTTAAACAGCTGAGTTAATTGACTTTCAGGCTACTATGACTTAATTGATTTTCAGATTACTGTCTAACTTCTCCCCACACTCAATCATTTTCCAACTTGTATTATATTTCTATGTACATCTCACCACTCCTACTAGATTGTAAGCTCTTTGAGGTCAAGGACTATATTGCTTTTTATGTTTATATCCTCAATACAATGAATATGTTTTTGAATTGAAATCAGTAAACTGTTTAAGGGTAATATACTTCATAGGGAAAATTATTTCAGTGTTGGAAAGTATCTGTTATGTCAAAACAAAATGCATCAATACTTTTAAAAAACGTTCTAAATTGTGGTGAATTGTTTAATGTGACCAAAAAAAGAATCAGTTGCTTTTAAATTGTATAGACACAAATTAGGTGTACAAACATATTCCCCAGTCAACCTCTTTTTTTGCTTCAACACTTATTTGAATTTTCTTTTTTCATCATTTGTAACATTCATCATGAAGAAAATATGCATTCTATTTGCTCCCTACTTTATCTTGATTCTTATCATTTCAGAATCACAATACCTCTTTTTAGGGGCTCAAAGTTTGTAAACTAAAATGTATTATAAAAAAATTTTTTTTTAATTAATGTTCAGTAACTTGGAAATGAGTTTTTTTCTTCCCTAGAAGAAAAATGGGAAGTTCCCATTAATCAGGCTAACCTTGCCTCAACATCCTTCTAGTGATACTGCTCTCATTCTCATTTGTTCTCTCTCCTCCTATTTTTATCAGCATAGAGAACTTAACAAGGTAGAAATTCCCTGGACAAAGCTGGAGAAAATCATGAAGCCATGCTGACTGGATTCATTACAAACGAATGCAGCATTTTCTCAACTGTGTCCCCATTGCAACATTAAGCAATCCTTTTACACCTCCCTAATTGATTCACTATTCCACTCACCACAGCATCTTTTCCAAACCTCTTCATCCCTTCTCAAACCTCACATAATTTTCCCCTCCTGACTCTCTAAGCTGAGAGCTTTGCCTCATATTGCACCAAAAAAACCCAAGCCATTCACCAGGAGCTCCCTCTTCTCCCTTCCATCTCACCTCACTCAAATGTCTCCCTTTACTATCTTCTCCTTCACCCATTTTATATGAAGAAGCAGCCCTTGTGCTTGCCAAGGCAAAACTCTCTATTATATACAAGTGACGTCATCCTGTTTCATCTTCTCCAAGAGATCTGTAATTCCTACTCTCACTAATCTTGAATCTCTTCCTGTCTGTTGCCTCCTTCTCTACAACCTATAAACATGACTGTGTCTCTCCTATCCTCAAAAAAGATTCTCACTTGATCTGTCCTCCCCACTAGCAATTGTCCCCTATTTCTCTCTTTTGGAAAAGCCATCTACAATAGGTACCTCTACTACTTTCCTCTCATTCTCTTCTTGATTTGTGAAATCTGACTTTTGACCTCATCATTCAACTGAAATACCTCTCTCCAAAGATACCAATAATCTCTTAATTGCTAAATCTAATGGTCTTTTCTCACTCCTCTTTCTTCTTGATCTCTCTGTAGCTTTTTAACACTGTCAATCACCTTCTTCTCATTGATACTCTCTTCTCTCCAGGTTTTTATGACACTGTTTCTCTCCTGGTTCTCCTCCTATCTGCCTGACTGCTCTTTCTTATCCCCTTTGCTGATCTTCATCTAGGTCACTCACCTAACAATAGGCATCTCCCAAAGCTCTGACCTCTGACCTGATGCTTCTCTCAATTATTGGTCTCTATGCAGATGATTCTCAGATCTATTTGTCCAACCCTAATCTCTCTCCTCACCTCCAGTCTCAGAATGAACAGCCCATAAACATCTCAAACTCAGCATGTCCAAATTTATCATCTTTCCCCCCAAATACTCCTCTCTTCTTAACTCCCCTATTACTGTCAAGGGCATAATTATGTTCTCAGTCCCTGAGGCTCAAAATCTAGGCTTCATCCCCAACTTCTCACTCTTTCCTCCTATATCCAATCTGTTGCCAAGGCCTATCAATTTTTTACCTTCATAACACCTCTAGTACATACTCCTTCCTCTCCTCTGACACCATCACTACCCTAATGAAGGCCCTCATCACCTCACTCCTGGACTATTGCTACAGCCTGTGGGTTGGTGCCCAAAAGTCTCTTCCCATTCCATTTACCTGTTGAACTGATCTTCCTTAACTGAAAGTATGTCCACATCACGCCATCCCATTTAATAAACTCCAGTAACTCCCTATTACTTCCATAATCAAATATAAAATCCTCTGTTTGACTTTTAAAGCCCCTCAAAACCTGACCCTTTCCTACTTTTCCAGTCTTCTTACACATTACTTTCCACCATATACTCTATATTCCGGTGATCCTGGCCTTCTCTGCTGTTTCTTGAACATGACACCCCATTTCCAGACTGAGCATTTTCACTGGTTGTCCCCCATGCCTGGCATTCTTTTTTGTCACCTCTACCTCCTGCTAGCTTTCTTCAATTCTCAGCTAAATTCCTACCTTCCACAAGAAGCTTTCCTAGCACCCCTTAATCTTCCCTCTGAAACTATGCTCAATTTACCACACATATATTTTGTGTATACATTGCCTATTATCTCCCCCAATTAGACTATGAGATCCTTGAGCAGGGCCAGTTTTTTGCCATTCTTGTTCTTTGTATCTCTAGCATTTAGCACAGGGCTTGGCACACAGCAGGCACTTAATAAATACTTGCTGACTAACTGTAACTTAGTCTTGAGGAGTTGCCTGAGGGCACTGAGAAGTTAAGCGATTTGCCCAAGGTCTAGCTAGTATGTATCAAAGGTAGGAGCTGAACCAAGCAAAGTCGTCTTGATTCTGAGGAAAGCCCTATACCATGCTCATACTTCTCATATAAATGTTCAAGTAAAGCATGCTCAGACATACTTCATTAATGACTTAAATAATTTCTAAGGTTCTCCATCCAGGCTGGCCAGGTAGCAGGAAGACCCACCACTTCTAGGATGCCCTTCATCTTTCCCTTTGCTTTGCCCTCTTAGAACACTAGTCTTGCTTCTAGCTCAGTCATCACTGCCATCATCTAAGGAAGTAATTCCTACAAAGAAGGGGCTAGCCACCTCCATCATCTGCCAACCAACTAACCCATACAAGGCAGGCAAATGAGTCTGGCAGAAGCAGCAGGGGACTCTAAGAGAGAGACAGAAGGCAGAAGAAGCCAGACAGGTCACACTACTACCATCACCACCACCACTGATGAGGATGGGATATGGACCTCAAAAAAGAAAAACCCTGGACTTTTCCCACATGGCCAAATCTCTGGATTTCACTTGAGGCCATAATCCCATCAACTAGCCTTTCATTGTGGCTATGCCCAATCTCCCAATTCTCTGTTACCCTTAACCTAGCCTAACCCTCCATTGTCTTACCTCCCTATGGTCCCCGGACACTCCCCACCCTTAATCCTAGCTAGGCTCTATTCTCCCTTGGCCATGTCCCTAGCATTCTATTACCTCGCAGCTACTTGGCCACTCCTGGATCTCTTCCATATCCTTCTGTATTTAAGGTCCATCTTGTCTCCATCAAGATGCTCAGATTCTTAAAATATAGCAAATACCTCACAGATGCTCAGATTCCTTAAGAGTCTGGCTAATATGGCAGATCTTTAATAAATCTTGTCTCTGTCTGAAAGAAGGCTTCGGTAGAATTCATTCGGGTAGGACCTGCGTGTCGTGATTTTGGGGGTCCAGCACCCCTAAACCTCTACACTTCATCACCACCACTACCACCACCACCATCACCTCTCCTGAGACCCTGAATAGAGGGGCCTTTGGAATAGCAATGTTTCCAATACAGTGCCCATAATCATCATTCTGGAAAGCCACCCCTGTGGAAATGCAGCATGGCACCTGCTCCTGAAGACCTAGAAAGTCATTGCCACCAAAGTCGCTGAAATTGTCAAGTGGTTGAAATAAGATTTTGTCAGGCACAATCTGTTTTGCCATTGTGCCCTAATGACCATGGGGCTTTTCCACCTGACTTAAGGCTGAAACTTTCCCTAGGTATGACCTCCTCCATTGGAATGGGAGCTCCCTGAGAGCAGGAATTCTCTTTTCTGTTTGTTTCCCAAGCACTCAGCATAGTGCTTTACACAAAGAAAGCACTTAATAAATACTCTATTTATTCATTCATTCATTCATTCATAACCTTGCTGAAAATTTCCAGAGTAAAGACAAAACTTACTCAAGTACTACGTGTTATACTTGTTTTCATACCCTATTTAGCATCTTGAGGAAGACCTTGCAACATGTAGACATTTACATATTTGCTGAATGAAGGAGTTTATTAAAAATTACCCTGTACCTGGCATTGTGCTAGATTTCCTGAAGGAAGCAGAAGACAGCTCAGCCTCTGTCCGAAAGCTCATTATGACAGTTGGGGAGACAGGTAACATAAACATAAGTAAACCATGCAAAAGAAATAAAATAGTTTGCTTAAATTTACCTTTTAAAAAGTGTTATCTTTAAAAATATTACAGCTGTCCTCTCCAATATTTGTAGTACTAAAAGCTAGTTCATGAATTTAAACATAAATTCCCTAAGATCTGGATTGTGTTTTATCTATTTGTTTATCTCTAGTAACTAAAACAGTATCTTACAGGGCTTAATCAATATAACTTATTGAACAGCTTTGAATGTGTTAAATGAGGAAATAAGAATGGTTCATATTTTTCAGATTTACAA